CTTGTTGTTTATTCTATCGTGAAACCTTGAATTGTAGTTTATTGATTTTGTATCTGCTGTTGTTGGGAGTACTCTCAAATCATTTTCATAGACTGAACGTGTTTGAACTGCTGAAACTGAGATTTTGTTTGGTATTTTAATGAAAACTTCATGATGGTATTCGGGTTTCCGTTCGGATTCTCAACTGGTTTCGCAAAAGGTGTCATATATTTTTTTTGTGTTTATGCTGGTACTGTTGTAACTATTTCCTTATGTGTAAAAAACGATAAAGTTTTAAGGTTAAGGTCTTAAAATTTACGGCTATTGCCAGCTATGTTATAGTGAATAATTGTATTGTTTTTTTTTGGCGTGGTATCTGTTGCTGAGAGAGTAACATTTCGATAATTTTTTCACTGAAATGATTTGAAATGTTTAGCAAGAAATGTTAGTTGCTATGTTAACAAACATATGTTTTACCATTCAGGGTCCCATAAAATATCTGTTTTTTTTTCTGCCAAAATTATGTAATTGTCTCAATTTAATCTACAATTTGATTTATTCATTAAAATTTAATTTATCTACATTATGTTTCATTTTATTTACATACTGCATTACATTTTTGGCCTGATATCTGTTGCTGAGGGCATTATTTTCAGATATTTGTTCACTGAAATGGCTTGAACTGCTGAGCTTGAAATATTAGTTGGCATGTTCAGAAACATGTAACGATACCAATCGGCGTCCCGTAAACATGCTATTTCATTTGCCAAAAATGTGTAACCGTCACATTTTGTACGGAATTCTTTTCGTGGAAAGTTCTATATGGTTTGAATTTAGCTGGAAATAAGTTAAAACGAAACAAGCATAACTTTGCAGAGGGTTTTTCTTTATGGGTGCAATTTCTATATCAGTGATTTTTTCTGCAAAATTCATTTAAAAGTCGTTAAAGTAGATAGTTTTCCTTCTTATGGATGTATGTCGTGATGACGGTGGTGGTGATAAAAAATGATTAGTCTGATTCTAAGATAAGACCTAGCTGTAAATGATTGAAAAAGCATCATTTAAAAAAACTGAAATTGATTGTGTTGAGTTTTGATGTTGTATTTTCGTGATATAATCTACGAAAATTAATGAATAGTTTAATTCTTACCCATCAGTTTATTTTTTAAGTGATTGGGTTTAGTTATATAAATTTCGTTCAAGGGTTTCGATTAGGAATATAACGTATTGTGAGGTTACGTTTCATATACTGGGTAGAAAATTATCTAAAACTTTCTTCCACATTTTAACGTTTGGAAACACTTGTTAGCAAAATTTGTTGGCCTAATTTTTTAAATTGTTGAGAAGGTGACAGAATTGTACTTTTGTGCGGTACGGTTCACTGTCAGATGTATGAAAAAAATAGGATAGAAACATCCGCAACTTTTGTGGTTTATACTGATTTTTATGTGTTATCACAGTGAATTTTCCAAATGGTTGATTCCAAATATTTGCTCGTACTGTTTTTTTTTAGATTTTTCTTAATCTGAAATAGTTTTTTTTCCTATCATGATGTTGTTTCTCTGAAACGTAAGAAGAAGATTTTTGTTGACTTGTGGTTTGTTCTGATTTTTTATTTGGTCTTTTTTTGTGAAAGTTCTCTTTTTTGATGGTTTTTTTTTTCGATCTTAAATATTTAATTTTTTGTTTATGTGGGTTATGACAAGATCGTATCCGGAGTCTGAAAGTGGCAATTGTAAAAAAACTTTGTTTTGTTGATTGTTAGACTAGCTTCTGATACATTAGTTAGAAGGATTGATGCACAATTAAGTTGTTAAATATCTAGTTCCTAAACTGTTTGTTGTTACTCCTTTTGAGGTTATCACAAATCCTCGGTCGTTTTGTCGTGTTAATACGGGTTGCGGAGGAAGTGTATTATTTAGTTTCAATTATGTTCTACTGTTTTCAATCATATGAGGCGTTTTTCACCATTAAGTAGACTCAACCCTACTTGAAAGGTGATCGTTATGAGATCGATGGTTAGAGAATAGTCAATCCACAAATTTCACAATTTTTAGAGCACAAGTAGATCGTTAGATAAAATTTTAGAGTTACAAGTTCTAAGAGTTGCTATAGACCTCTGTTAAGTATTCGGTGTGGCTCAAGTGAAGGATGAAGAACTGAAGTCTTTCACTGCATACCTTAATTTAAAAGGCGATTTTTTGAAGAAAAAAAATTAGTGTTTCAGTCACGGGTCGTTCAGAAAGGCTGGAAAGTAAATAAATGAATCGACGTTATAGGTTGCTAGATACTTAGTTTTATTGAATGTTTTATGTATCAAAAAATAGTTTAATTGAACCAAAAAAAGTCTCAAAGATCCAAATTTGAAAAAAAAAATTGAAATTGAAAAAAAAACATTTAAGATTCAAAACTTAAGAACAAATATACAAAAAGAAGCTTTGATTATTTGGATTATTTAAATAAACCCAAGTTTTTTTTTGATTCAAAATCAAATAGAAGCCTTTATGATTGATAGTTTAGTTAAAGTCAGGTTGTTTGGAATAGTTAAAGATCCATAATTGATTTTGATGATGTTGTTTTCAATTACGTTAGTTTTTAGAGATTAAAATGCTTGAGGTAAAGAAAGACAGGAAAAATAATGATCGACGAGAGCAAGAAACCTCCACCAATCTAGCGATAACTGATTTCTATTCTATGTTTTTTGAATATTTAAATTGTTTATAACACTTTAACAAAGCTTGTGAACAAACTACTGCATGTTTGAAGTGGTAATAGAAATAAAGTTTTCAGTGGACGTCTTTCATTTAAATAATTTACTAGTTTTCGTTTATCTTAGAGAACATTTTTTTGCCTAAGAAATCAAGTTTGCTGCTTTTGCGTAATGCAATTCATATAATTGCTTAAAATAGCTTAGAACTTTTAGTTTTTCAAATTTTGTCGTCTTTTTCTTCTTTTTTTCGCTTTGCGATGGAGTTTTTTGGTTTGTCAGCTTTCGTTGTGATCTGATTTCCTCTTGTTATTTCGTAAACTGTTTGTTCTTACTCTTTTTGAGGTTGTAACAAATCCTCGGGTCGTTTTGTAGTGGTAATACGGGTTGGGGAGAGAGTGTATTTTTTAATTTGAATGATGTTCTCTGTTTTCAATTGTATGAGGAGGTTTTCACCGTTAAGTAGTCTTAACCTTAGTTGATTGGGAATCGATATGAGATCGGTGGTTGGAGAATAGTCAATCCACAAGTTTCAGAAATTTTAGAGCACAAGTAGATCGTTACTTAATATTTTAGAGCTTACTAGTTCTAAGAGTTGCAATAGACCTGTGTTGAATAGTCGGTGTGGCTCAAGTGAAGGATGAATAACTGAAGTCTTTCACTGCATGGCCTAATTTAAAAGGCGATTTTTTGAAAAAAAAATGCGTGTTTCAGTCACGGGTCGTTCAGAAAGGCTGGAAAGTAAATAAATGAATCGACGTTATAGGTTGCTAGACACTTAGTTTTAGTGAATGTTTTAAGTGTCAAAAAAATATATTTTATTTGACGCAAAAAAAATCTCAATGACCCAAATTCAAAAAAAAATTAAAATTAAAACAAATCTTTAGGATTAAAAACTTAAGAACATAGATAGAAGAAGAAGCTTTGATTATTTGGATTTTTTAAATAAACTCAAGTTTTAAGATTCAAAATTAAATACAAGCCTGGATGATTAGATAATTCAGTTAAATTCAGTTTATTTGAAATAGTTAAAGATCCGAGAATGATTTTGATGATGTTGTTTTCAATTGAGGATTTGATAGTTTAGCTAAATTCAGGTGATTTTAATTAGTTAAAGATCCAAGAATGATTTTGATGAAGTTTTTTTTCAAAAATGTTAGTTGTTAGAGGTTAAATTGTTTAAGGTATAGAAAGACAGGAAAAATGATGATCCACGAGAGCAGTAAAAAAAATCTCCACCAAACTAGCAAAAACTAATTTTTATTTTTTTTGTTTTTTGAATATTTTAAAGGTTTATAATAACGTTTAAACAAAATTTGTCAACAAATACTGCAGGTTTGAAGTGGTAAGAGAGATAAATTGACACTTTTCGTCTATCTTTCAAAACATAATCGGCTAAGAAATCAAGTTTGCTGCTTCTGTTTCATGCATTTCATATAATTGCTTAAAACAGTTTTTAATCTGTTTTTTTCTTGCTTTGCGATGGATGTTTTTGGTTTGTCAGCTTTCGATGTGATCTGAATTTGTCTTTGCTATTGGTTGGCTTAATTAGACTGATTAAGTCGTGGAAATAAGCTAATTTTATTTTCAATTTGTTTGGATTTGTTTGTTTTTTGTCTGAAGCCAGATTAGTATCAAGTCTGCTCCAGACTCGTTGGTCTTACCGAATAAGTTCAAATCCGGAAAGACCTTCTCATAGAGTAGTTTTGAACGGATTACCCCCTCTGTTCCTCACGCTATCCTATTATCGGCCGGGTAGATTCGGGCAATTTCTTTTTCTTTTACAAGTCCTAATCTTACTCTTATACTTCCTAGTCTCATCAGATCTAGTCAGATCTAGAATATACTGTTATTCTTGCGACATAAGAGGAGAGAAGTAAGCAACTGACTTCAGTCTGTAATATTATTTCTCTGGCTGAAACTATGAACAATTTCAGCTTCACAATCCATCGTAGGTTTTAGTATTGGATCGAGATCGGTTATTTATAAATATTTTAGCGATGAGTATCAAGATATATGATAAACACTTGTTTTGAATTGGTTCCAGATTGCTGCTTCTACTACTTGACAATACCCTTTCTTCCCTTTTACGATATGTCGCTGGTTACGAGTTGCCGCCTTTTTGAACTCACTCCCAGACGGAATAAATAACAAAAATGCGTACGCTGTATATACCACTATACTATGTATACGATGTAAAACTACTTATTTATTTGTTAACAACTCTTGTAAAAGCCGCAAGTTTTACTACAATTGTCAATTGAATCCGTTGAGGCCTGATCAAAAAATAGTAAAATATGGTTCGCTGTTGCAGATGTGTTGGTCGGAACTGAGACGATACAGATGGTTTTATGGGGAGTGTCTGTGGATCTGCTGTTGATTGCACTGGGGGTCACTCTTCTCCTATTTATCACTCTTTGTCTACTCATGGATTTCTGTATGTACTTGACCAGTGCCAATCATACCGGAGGATGTATAATTCCTCTGTTGTGTAACAATTGCTGCTGCTACTGCTGTTGTCGCAATTTTAGTCACGGGTCTCCCTCGTATGCAGCTTCTTCTTGTCGAAACGCTTCCTTTTCTCCAGCTAAACACAACACGATAAAGTGCGTATACCTTATGTAACTACATGATATCCTCAAAAGCTTGTAAATTCTTATTTTAAAGAGTTCTCAGGTGGTCCAGTCATACCGCAGTGCTTTGGAATCTCCAAAGGGTCTAAGCGGGATAACAAAGATGCTAGTCATGAAATTTTTATAAACGATTTCCATCACTAGTGTTTTTTCGCATTGAAACTCAAAAATCTCATTTTGTCATACGAGCGAAAATCAGCTTTGTCACAGAATTGGCATCATTGATCTTTTTCTTTGATCTTCTTTGCTGTTTTGGATTCCACGGACAAACAGCTAAAACACTTGTAAACTAAGAAGTGTGGATTACGGTAACATTTCGAATATCAATTTTCTGTCGTTTAAATGCCTTTTCAAAAAAGTCTTTCTTTTTCAAGTTTTTCCTTCTCCAACTAATTTTGTTCATTTTCAGTAATTTGACTTCAGCTGTCTTCAAATTAATGTGTTCACGCAATGGGCTAAGTCAACGCATGTCAAGCTTGCATATCGGGCATTGAAAGTCACAGTAAATTGTCGATTTATAGCACTGCTCAAATCGGGCTTACAGCCGTCCTCATTTCGCAATCGCAAAATTAAAATGAAAAGTAGGAATGGAGATGAGTGCGGTTTCCCAAACCTAGTCTTAAAATCCTAGTAGAGCTGAGTTGGCTGATGTCGTCGTTGATTAGTCCGTTCCCGTTGTTGGTCGTTGTCTTTGTTGTGGCTGCTACTTCTGTCGAAGAGTCGATTCTTATTGTAGACAGTAGTCCTGGTTGCCCATAGAGGTATGGTTAGTCCTGTCCTCATCGAAGAGTTGATTCGCGTTGAACGTTATTTTATAACACGTTGCTAAAATTCTAATAGAGCTTAAGTGGCTGCTGTCGTTGTGGAAAAGTCGATTCTTGCTGCAGGTTGTTGTCTTCTTTGCTGGTTGATTTGCCAATAGTCGAGTCGTCGAAACAAGTAGAGCGGTTAGTGGTCATTGTAGCAAAAAAAAAATGCAACCCTATCTAATGTGGCTGAGCGTTGTTGTCGATGATAAGATCATTACCAAAATTTGTCACTTATCGAGTGATGCTCTCCGGGTAAAATTTGATGCAGGTTGACTCCAGTTCATCGTTGCAGAGGTGAATAGCAGAGAGTAATCCGCTGCTCAGGTTGTATATCTTGCTGAAGTAACTGCTAAATGGATTAGAGAGTGGTTTCCATTTTTTTCTTTTGAAATGCGTGAAATTTGAGCTGATGGATAAATTGTCGAACAAAGTGTCGACAGTCTTTTTTGGTATCTTTGATTTGATAAAATTCATAATTTTCTAGTCGGTTGTGTTAGCGTGCGTGCTATTCATGTCGGTTGGCGAAATTTCGGTGCTGGTGGGTGAAGCAAAAAAATCTGGGCAAACAGGGACAAGTCGTATTGTGGAATTTTCACAGTACCACGATGGGTGCGTACATTGTATTGTCTAACTTGATCTTCATGTGATGGGATCGGGGTTTCAATGCGTCCAAAAGGCAACAAACCTCGTGTTTTCTTTTTGCAACCATACTGTTTGTCCGTTGGCCGTTTCATAAGTCCGTTGGCCGTTTCATTTCTGTCGGGGAAGAGTGTTGGCGCGAATTCTTCAAAAGGCGTTTCCAAACGTGATTTGAGAGCTGCTGGGCAAACTTCCACTGTTTCGTGATCGTCGATGGCGGAGTTGATAGTTTGGGTGGTATGCTGGCGAATATTCGTCCTAGAAGGAAAGGGTTGGTTGTATGGGCTTCGATATCGTTGGTAGTTGAAGAAGCTGTGGTGATTGGTCTGGCGTCCTTGAAGGATTCGATTTCGCATAGTATTGTTTGGAAGGTGTCGTAGGTCAGAGTCTTGCTTCCAATGATAGCCTACTTTGTGTTTTTAAGACTTCGGATGAGGCGTTGCCTTACGCCTCCGAAGTGAGGTGCTTTTGCTGAGTTGAAGTTCAAAAAACTCATGTGGTTGAAGTTCAAAAGCTCTTTTTCGGCTGCTGTAAAATGTGTCCCGTTATCGGAACAAAGGGGTTCCTCGTCTAGCGAAGAAGCGGCGAAGCGCAGTGAATGTGGTTTCGTCAGAGAGGTCTTGACGAATTTCGAGGTGCCCGGCACGTGTAGTTAGGCTGGTCGGAATGAGTCAATATCGCTTATTGTAAGCGTTGGCTGTGTGAGAGTTGAAAGTTCCAAAACATCCGGTCCCATAGTTTGAATTGGGAATGGTTTTTCAGAGGTAAAGCAGGTGTATGCTAGAACTGCCATTTCAGGCAGGATACCAGAAGCTAATTGGCGGCGCTATGCGTTGCAATCTTTGCAGACTTTCGAATCTGTGCTCTGATGTGTAGAATCCAGTATTCGACTTGTAGAGTGTTTCTCTTGTGCTCTGTTGGAGAGTGCTGATTTAGGACATAAGTATATCCTATCATTGGCATAATAGCGGAGTGTTTTCCGTCGAAAATGATAGGGTATTTAGAATGAAAATCAAGTCTAGATTTTTTAAGCACCCGTGAGCTCGAATAAATCCTTTATCGAGGATGTACGAGGAAAGGAGTCTAATTCGGCTGCTTGGTAAAACTGATTTACCACGTTTGAGGATGGAAAATTTGGCAGCGTAAGTGTCCAGCTGCGCTTGCGTCAAAAGGAAAAATTTGGCGTCAAGATGTGGTTTTGGTCTGTCTTTTGTTGGCAAACTGCTACTGGTAGGGTTGGTTGGTTGTGGCAAACTAATATTATCTTAGGTGTTGCAGCCTCATGATCTCAATCGGCTTGATATTGGGGAAAATTAATAAGTTGCTTCCGATGATGTTTTGCAAATCAAGGATTGATGTCAAACGTTTAATTTGAATCTTTCCACTGCTCTGAATACAAAAGAAGTTGCTCAAAGCAGTCGGATCCATTTCGATAACCTTTTGTATGTAAAACAAAAACTTTCAGGACTAACGAAATTTGATTGAGCGATGAAAGACTGTCGGTGTGAACGCTCGTTAGTGTTATTCGTCGAAGAGAGAGAATAATTGAAAACAAAAGATGCAGTTTTCTGCTGTGAAAACTGAAGTGGCGCGGGCCGTTGCAGATCTGATGCAAAAAGAACTCAAGTCCATGAAGTCAACAGCAATTTGGTGTGAATTCGGCAAAGGGAGTTTTTCCGGGTCCATTGTCTGCTTGGTTAAGGCATCTTGGGCAGTGTTTCGACTGAGAGGCTAAGAAGAGATCTAATTTTTGTCCAACATGGTTGGCTACAAATGTCTGCTGCGTTTTATCAGATCCATGTAACCATTGCAGAACTATGCTGCTACCAGACAATAATTAGGTTTAATCGATAATGAAACATTGCTGTGTCTTGATGATTTTGCAAGTCAGGCTCATATCAAGGCTTCTTGTAATTTTAGCTTGGTTATCGTAGGCCGTTCTGTTGGGTTGGTTTCTTTTTAAGTAGGTCGTTGAATTTGGTCGGCAAGAAAACAAGTGAGTCGCTGGTCATGTTCCACTGAATTCGTAAGATTCATTTGATTGTAATTTTGTCGAGACTTTTGTCAAAATTGATGGCTCGATGTTTTTAGAAATTGAACCAAAGATGTCGCTTTTGGTTGTTATTTACTTTGTAAGGTAGAATCTAACGGTCTGAAGGTTAGATTGCTGTTCTTTGAAGAGTCGTTGAGCTTCACTGATGATGTCGGTTGATTCGTACAAGCCGTCCATGTAGAAGTTGTTGTGGACAAGGTCTTTCCCTTTCACGTGACAAAGCTGGCAAAAATGGGCGCCACTCTGCACCGAACACACAACTGGTGTACTCATAGAACTCTGGTATGTTAGTTGCCCAGAGAAATCGGAGAAAAGTTCAATCTTCCAGCTGAACAGACAATTGCATATACATCACTTCTTTGTTGGCGTTGATTTGGTATTTCCGTTCGCAAAATCGGCAAATTCCGGCAAGTTGTTTAATAAGTAGGTCGGTTGCACTCAAAAGCATATCGTTGAGGCTAATTCTTTTCTACCTGAAATTTGCGTTGGAGACACGGCGGAATTTTCCGGGCTTGTAGGGGTTGATGACACCGTGTTCGAGTAGAATCCATCCTGTTGAGGGCATTTCACTGAGTAAGCGAGTTCAAATGTATCCCTTGTCGAGGTCTCATGAAGTTATGCTTTGATAAATTTCCAGTTTGTTGGGGTCACTTTCAAGTCTTGTTCGCATCTCTTTGAATTGATGGAGCTAATTCCTTTCTATCTGGAATTTGCGTTGGAGACACGGCAAAATTTTCCGGGCTTGTAGGGGTTGATGACACCGTGTTCGGGTAGAATCCATCCTGTTGAAGGCATTTCACTGGGTAAGCAAGTTCTAATATATCCCTTGTCGAGTTTTCATGAAGTTATGCTTAGATAAATTTCCAGTTTGTTGAGGTCACTTTCAAGTATTGTTCGTATCTTTTTGACTTGATGGGATGCTGATGCGTATTTATTTGGGGGAAGTTGCATTGTGCTTCCTTAGTCGTCCATGTTTATAGCGGTTGTTTTTGTGGGTGATTATTTTCCGTAGAAATTGCATTGCACGGCGTTCATCTTTCGATAATGTTTAATTGGGTGAAGTTCCATACGATTCAACTCTCCAGCTGTTGACAAGGAAATCTGAAAGGTCTGTGTCATCGCGAGATTCTTTTTCTTGCGTTAAGGGCGCATGAAAGACATTTCTTCCCTACATGTCGGTAATTGGATCTCCAATGTCCATCCAAGTGATGTTGCATTGTTCGAAGGGCAGTGTAAGGTGCTTTGATAACTGAGGTTTTCGTATTAAGGTAGATTTTGTCTGTTCCAAGTTGAATTGAGACATGATTGTTATCAAAGTAGAAAAAGTGATGCCGCAAGGGCAATCGTAGGCATGGCGGATGCTGTTGAGCTTTTTGGCTGAACATTCTCAAGTCTCAATCTTTGAAATATGTATTCCTCCTAATATAGAATTCTTTCTTTGGGGCTCCAAATGGATGCACAGTCAGTCAACTCAGTTAATGACGCAGTTAATTTTTGGAGTCGTGAAAGCCGTCGATGGAAAGTTCTTCTGTATCTTGCTTCTCTTTTAGTTTTAGGTAATCGAATGCTGAATTTAGTATGTAGCTGTAGCTGCTACCGTCGTCTGGAAAGGCGTAAGAGCTGATGTACTTGTTTCCATATCTCAACATAACTGGCACGTAAAGTAAAAGAGATTTCGCAGATCTCTGTTGCTGTCGTTTCACAGATTTTTGTGTCATTAAGGAGTGCTGTGATGGTGGGAAGATGTCTTCCGAGATGAGCTGCTGGTAGTAGATTTTTCGTCTTGAATGCTGCTGTGATGTTTTCAATTGGAGGTTGAACGTTTTCGTTTGGAGGGGCAGTTTTGTACCATATGTTGTCCCAAGCCATTGAGGCAAGGACTTTTTGAGTGAATGAGTTTTCGTTTTGCTTCAATTGACTGGTCTTTGTACTTGTTGCATTGAGAGTATAGGTGTTCTTGGTTGTAGAAAGCGCAAACATTGCGGCTTTTTTTTAGAATTGTTTGTTGTTGGTTGAGGATCGGTTATGGTTTCAATCCAATTGTCTGTCACCGTACACCGTTTTTCTTGTTTCGTTCAATCGAGTTAAGATGATTGCGCGAGGTGTTGCTGATGATAGAGACGTCTTCTTGAGGAAGGTAGTCGCAGACCAAGGCAAGATTTCGTAGCTAGTCGTTAAACAGGGCAAGATTTGGCTGCTGTGTATCGTTGTTTACAAGACAAGAGGTCGTTGTAAAAAGTTATTGTGATGGAGCTTGTTGATCGCAAATTGTACATAGATAGTCCAGTTTATGCCATTCGCAATTTCGATAGTCTGGAGGGTTTCAACAATGCTGCTAACGAAAGAAGAAAACTCCATGTGTGAGTCTTTTTGATGGCAAACGAAAATTTTGTAGTCGTCTGTTCAAATCATTCACCTTGATGTTCAGTCGAAATCTTCTCTGAAGTTCCTGTAGGGCAGTTCTATACCTCGACTTCAAAGTTTCACCGTCAAGTTTTTCCATTCTGATCTTTAGTAACCGGAAAGTCTCTCTGAATGTTGCTGCTGGTTGAGCCTGTTGATGATGCTGTTGATACTGATGATAATCTCGCGGGGAAGCATTATTGGTTAAGCTGTGTATTGCGTCGTCAAGGTGGTTGGTTTTCGAAACTGTCCTGCAGATTGATTGGTGTGGTCTGAAAAAAAGTCCCTAATACTGATTGATTTTGCTGTGTAAACCTGAGGGCTCTTCTTGATTCAGAGGCTGCTGATGTTGAAAAAGTTGTTGCTGGAGTGAAAACTGTTGGTAACATCAAAGCTGTAAATGATGATGAAGATGTTGCTGCAGATGCGGGCGCGCTAGTTGCTTAAGTGATCATCGGGACGGTTAGGCGGTTGATCAAGACTGTTATTCAGTTGATTTTCAATATATGTGAAGGTTTCGATGATTTTTCTGGGTGTCGCATCATCAGTGAGATGATCAACAAGATTATTGTCATCTCCTTCAACAGCCTCAGTAAAATTGTAGCGTCTGCTTTCGTTTCATTGATGTTGATGTACGAGTCTTCTTCGTTTGTTGCGTTTTCAATTTGTTGAATGGCTTTTTGCAGGCGTTTCAGAATGAAGTCGCGTTGATTGAGGCTTGATTTTGCTGGCATTTCGGTTGAAATGCTGGCTTGTTAAATCTTGTTGATGTTATAGGCTAATTTTCAAACCCAGAGAGCAAAAAGAGAATGCTAACAAGTGAACAAGTGATTTTTTTTTCCAAAAAATATTGGAACCAAACATCTTAAATCGTAGTGAGTTAAGTTTCTCCGTTATCCCAAATGAAAGGAGAATGAAATAAATTTACGTTCAGAGTATTATGTTAGAGAGGAAACAAATAATAATGTACCGAGGACAAAGTTTTAAATTTAAGCCTAGTACCAAGAGAATCCGAGCCTTTTTTTGTTGATTGCTATTGGAAAAAAAAAACACTTCCAAGCAGGGGAGGAAAATTGTAAGCCGTAGAGCAAAGAGGGTTGTTTGTACCGGGATTGTTCCCGCAAGACGTCATGGAGACTAAGAAGTGTGGTTACATAATTTTTCAAACAATATTTTTTTATCGTTTAGTTGCATTTCTAAAATAGTGTTTCAACTTTCAAAATTTTCTTTCTTTAAGTAATTTCGTCAATTTTTAGTAACTCTGCTTCGTTTGTCTTCAAGTTGTTGTGCTCGTGCAATGGGCAAAGTCAATGAATGTCAGGCTTGCATATCGGGCATTGAAATTCACTGCTCAAACCGGGCTTACAACACTAGATTGCTCAAAATCGCTACAAAAAACCTTGAGTTTTTCAGATTCGATTAAAATTGGTGGAATCCGCATTTTTCGGGATCGGGAAGAATTTGTGGAACCCATGATCAAATATTAATACATGTTTTTAGTTAATTCAATCAGTCATGGATTCCGCAGCTGTAAGTGGAATCCGCAAACTGTAAGCGGAATTCGCCAATAGTGAGCGGATTCTGTAAATTGTAAGCAAAATCCGCAAATTGTCTGGACAAGCGCAATCTGGATAAAATTGTGGAATCTACTTACATTTGCGGTATACGCTTACACTTGCGGAATCCGGAACAACTACCTATATTCGCTCGTTGATCAAAAAGAATCCGCAACCGAATCTGCAACAAATATATATATTGTGGGATTACTAGTTTAATTAACCCTGGTTGCTTAATACATATAACTTTGAAAAAAACTACGGTAAGTTCCATCTCGTACAAATTTAAATTTTCGCCGATGCCACCTGTTATTTGATTCGAACGACAGTTTTCGCTTGAAAGCTTGAGTTTTGTTGCTTTTTTAGTGACTACAACAATAGACAAAGTTCAGCAGATATCTTGCGCAACCTCGAGTACGACCCAAGAGAAATCAATTTATGATTCAGCAGATTGGTACAGAGGACACAAACACCGATACACTCACCTAAGCGTGCTCATGACCTTTGTAAATTCAGCTCTAAATCAAAAAGACCTGCGACTTTCTGTTTGAAAAAACGTTCCTTTTTGGAATCAATGCAACTCTATTATTTTTTGGCGTTTTTAAAGACACACAAAAGTATTCACAATGATGCATGTACTGAGCGCATGGCAAGAATGGCTGAAATTTCCCCCTCATTTAGCTTCCTGCTTTTTGTATGTTTTATTTTTATTCTGGAATTGAAATTTTTGTCCGGGGTGGCTCACTCATAGAGTAATTTCAGATAAGGTACACCGTCTGTTTGCCACGGTATCTGATTTTCCGCCGGATAGATTCGTGCAACTTCTTAGTCTAATACCAATCTTAATCTTACTCTTATATCTCCTATTCTCAATAGATCTAGTGTTTACTGGTGTTTGCTAAACTTGGTATCAAGAACTGTTCTGAGGAAGAGCAACTGTTTGCTAAGTTAAATTTTTTCTGTTCTGATTGAAAGTATAAAGAGTTTCAGCCTTAAAAATTATGGTAAGTGTTAGTTATGGATCATGATTGGTTAGTTCTAAGTATTTTATAGAGATAGTTCATTATGAATAAAATATGAAAAAATAAATACTTGTTTTGAACTGGTTCCGCCCATCCGGGGTTTAGAGAGTTTTTTTTAATTTTTAAGTTTGTTCTTGTCAAGATGGATAGAAAAATTTTTTGATCCTAAGGCGAAATTTGTTTTCGAAGCGAAGGAAGAGAACCCGGGTCGAGATCCCGCTCAAAAACCGCTCAAAATTTGAGCGGTTTGAGCGGTTTTCCAGCAAGATTTGAGCGGTTTGAGCGGTTTGGGCGGTTTGGGCGTTTTTTTTTTGGAAAAACCGCTCAAACCGCTCAAATCTTGCTTAAAAAACCGCTCAAAAACCGCTCATTTCTTGCGGTGATTTTTGAACGGTTTTTCAAGCAAGATTTGAGCGGTTTTTGAGCGGTTTTTGAGCGGTCTTCCTGGGTCGAGGTCCCAGACTCCCCCCGCCCCAACTTACCCCCCCCCCCCCGCCAACGTACTCACCCCCCCCCCTCCCAACGTTCCCCCTCAACGTATCCAACATCCAACAAACCCCCCCACCAACGTACCCCCCCCCCCCCAACGTACCCCCCCTCAACGTACCCTCCCCCCCTCAACGTACATCTAACTCTAGTAAGGGACATCAACTCTAGTAAGAGGTGAGGGGGGACATCAACTCCAGTAAGAGGTGGGGGGGGGGGGGGTGGGTTGGTGTGCGATCTTATAATCGATTATTTTTGTTATTTTGTACAGACTGACAATAAAAATCCTGACAGTATATTTGTTGTGTATGTCTAAAACATTGAACATATTCAGTAGAACAAATACAGCGAATATGAAGCTTCCAGCAAGTCAGCATAGACTAACGGATAAGGCGTCTGACTTCGAATCAGAAGATTGCGGGTTCGAATCCCTCCGTGGTCGACTTTTTATTATTAAATCTTGCGCGGTTTTTGAGCGGTTTTTTTAGATAAACCGCTCAAAACCGTTCAAATCTTGCGCGGTTTTTGAGCGGTTTTTTTAGATAAACCGTTCAAAAACCGCTCAAACCGCTCCTTTTGAAGCAAGATTTTGAGCGTAATTGTCTAAAAAAACCGCTCAAACCGCTCAAATCTTGCTTCAAATTAGGTGAAAAATCTCGACTCGGGAAAGAAACAGTTGCTCGTTTTGTGGAGTAGTTGTCTTCATGGAGAGAGAAGGAGTACAGTTGCTCGTTTTCCAGAAGTTGTTTTCGTGCATCATGCTTGAGTTGAAGGATCGTGTCAAGGTTGGCAAATTATACAGTGATGTGTCGATTTCCTTTAGGAGGGCGAGACTAAACACCTTTTCAGCTATTCATCGAATAGCGAGATAGGGTTTGATTAACCGGTTTGAAGCCCCTTGTGACTAAAATTCGTATTGAGTTCATCATCGAAATGACCTTGGTTTTCGTTCAATAGGTACTTTTGCTGCGATGTTGGTTTTATACTTTAAATCCTGCGAGGGTTGTGACTACGGCAATAAACCAATAGACTTACTATTCCAAATCAAAACAATCTGGGGCTCAACTAAAGAAAAAAAAGAGGAAAACACCTGATGAAAAAAAAAACAAAAGGTTGAATACAAAAAGAGACTCTGCTCGAAGAGACTGTAAAAAACACTCCCACAACTGGCCTAAGTCACCAGTAAAAAAAAATCCCCAGCATGCTCTTCAGCCGGTTTCATCCATCGCGCCAAACCACGCTTACAACACACTCCTTATTTTTGACGAGAGTAGTTCTACGATGAGCAACTCTTTAAAATGACCAAACTTATTTAAACGCTTTTGCGAAAATAACTAAGAAAAATCATAACTCAAATCCAGAGTCGGAAAGTCATCGAAATTCATCTCTCTTTGCTGCTTGTTTCTTTTGCTCGAAGAAATAATTTTATATCTTTATATCAGTTTTAAATCATATTTTTATATTATAAAACTGATCTCACTAACCAAGTGCTGTTATAAATATATAATCTAAAAAGATTTCTTTGAGCAGTAGAAACAACCAACAAAGAGAGATGATACTTCATGACTTTCCGACTCTGGATTGGAATTATGATTTTTCTTAGTTATTTTCGCAAAAACATTTAAATAATTTCGGTCGTTTCAAAGAGTTGCTCACCCTGGAACTACTCTCGTCAAAAATAAGGAGTGTGTTGTAAGCGTGGTTTGCCGCGATGGATGAAACCGGCTGAAGAGCATGCTCAGGATTATTTTTTTAACTGGTGGGTTAGGCCAGTTGTGGGAGTGTTTTTTAAAGTCTCTTCGAGCAGAATCTATTTTTGTATTCAACCTTTTGGTTTTTTTCATCAGGTGTTCAGGTGTTTTCCTCTTTTTTTTTTCTTCGGTTCAGCCCCAGATTGTTTTGATGTGTTATTCTTTTGATGTTTTTGTGTTTCAAGTGGTTTCGATAAAACTTTCAAGCGAGATTCAAAAGAATAGTTTATCCAGTTTCAATCTGGGTTAAACCTGGTTCGGCTACCATGAGACCTTCTCATACATGCGGTTGGTTTTATGGTATTATTATGCTGCATTGGTAAGCTTAAGCTTATTTATAAGTCTGTCCAATCGGGTTAAGGGAAAAAGTTGAAAACGCGTGAAAGCAAGTTAAAGTTGTTATCAGTTAGTTTGTAAAACTAGAAGTTCATTTATTAAACAATTCTATTGCGACGAGTTGTTCAATTTGAGTACAAAAGGTGCGTGAAATGTAGAAGAAAAAGAAGAAAATCAAATTTTACTAATGAGAGCACACATAAAACGTTTCTTATCATTAAATTTTTGTTGCGTTATCAATTTACTACTTCGTATTGTGAATTTCAAACATTGTTATCAGTTTACAGCTACAAATTTAAATTACTTCAATGAAGTTATTTATGACGCATTGTTGGAATAAAAAGATAGAAGTTTAATTAGAGTTCGATTTTTCTTGGAATTAAGTTTTTTTAGAGGAATGACTGGTGAAATTTGGAAAGAAAAATTGAAAAACACGTGTTGGAATGGTGGTGTTTCATTCATTTCTATTGGTGATGTTTTAAATTCATCCCTACGGGTGGTCTGGTTCCGAAAAAGAAATCCTCATTAGAAATTAGTTTTGAAGATGACTGAGGGTGAATAAAAACTTAAAGAGCATGCGAATCACATTTTAAGTGCGTAAGAGTGGCCAAAGAAAATCAAGCGAGCGGATGATATTCGGTGACAGAGGAAAACTCGTGGTTAGAATTTTAAATAAAATGTATAGTTTATGAATACAATCAAAATTATGAATGCTCTCTAAAAAGAATTTTCAACGGGTTGACATTTTCATGCGGATAATAATAGAGCGGGAGTCTTCAAGCGGGAAGTGGTTAGTGAAGGGGCAAAAGATGTTAATTTGTCTCACGGAATAGTAGTTACGGAGGATGCCATGATTTTTTTTTGATTTTATGCAATATGTGAAGTTTAGAAATCAACGTGAGGTAAATTTAAAGTTAATCAACATGAAGCGATGGTGAGGGTTGCCGGATGGTGACCTGTGAAGATAGTGTCGTTGGATAAGTTTATCTAAGATATAAGTGTGTAAAAGAAAAAAAAACTCCATGTTAACAGTTAATATCTCGTTCTTTGGATGTTAGAAAATTAAATATTAGTGCAAAGTGATCAATTTTACCGGAAAGTGGTTCGTGAGTTATTGTGATTATGAGTGCGTGGTCGATGATGTGATCAATTTTTTTATTAGTGCTCTCGAGTTGAAAGATGCCTTCAGATTTAATGAAAAAATTTTCGGTTATTTGAGCATTCACATTAAGGTCAGTATCATATGGTGAGTCCTCCAATAATCGGACAACTGTATGATCGTAGTTATTAATGGAAAATCGGTAAGCGCTTGTTGCAATGAATCGGTTAAGTAATTGTTTTGAGACTTTGTTTGTGAATTGTTAAAAGTGGAGTGCGTTAGTTAATTAGTTAATAACTGAATCACAAAGCTCAGCGCCGTCTGGATTCTTCTTTGGGGTACTTTTGATGGATTTGTGAAATAATAAAATCAGATCCCTAATTATTTTGCTAGTAGGGATTGTTCATCAACGAAATGGGCTCTTTTGGGCTGGATTTTCGCCGTTGTAATAGGTGTACTGAAGGAAGAAGGGAAGCTATTCTACAAAAAAGCGGATGAGTTAATATGCCGTGGGTGATGGTGTAGGTGTCGGGATGATGATGGGCGTTCAATAAGAAAAGGTGATTTGTTATTGGGATGTTTCGGTTTCATAAAAACACTTTGTGCACGTGTTGGGGCAATATGGACAGAAGGGATGGATGATTTGGATGTTGAGGTAGAATGGGTGATTTGGTGAATAGTTACTGAGGTAATGGTGTAGTGAATTTTGCGGCTATTCTACATTTTGTAAACTGTGAAAATGTGATTTCGCTGTAGGTGTAGTCTTCGTATTGTCTTGTAGAGTATCATATGCGTTTAATTTTGTGGATAATTTTCTACTGTATTTGTTATTTTGTGCATCAAGAATATTTTGTTAATAGAAGTGGAAAAAACTCCAAACAATCCTGTAAAAAAAATTATTGTTACGCTAGCTTGTCTGCTGACTTGTTTGTGTATTGCGCATCTGTTTTCAAGTCTTTTAAGTGATGAGAAGGGAAATCTTATGAAGTTAAGCCTTGCGTATATGATATTCAATCTTTGTAAGATCTAGTAGAGCCATCCTAGAAATGCTAGCGGTTCCTTTTGTTGTTTTAATAACATAAAATATTAATTGTTGAAATATCTTGCGGGCGATATTTTTCTTCAATTGTTTATATATAGTTTCTAACATCCGTAAAACCTCTACTGTATTATTGTCTATAGATATCTGAGAAACCTACTGTTTCAGCTAGTTTGCGGAGGTTTTGACCATGTGATTTTTTTTGGATTGTCTCCAGTTTAGTGAGGAGTTCTTGAAACTGTTATCTACGAAAGTGATGTTGTACAACTGATTTCGAGTATATGCTTAAGTGCTGTAAATGTATATTTGGGTTCCGAGCGACTTTGCGCATGCTTTCAGGTGAGAACTTCTTAGAGTGAGAAGAAACTTTTCATCTTTGTTTGGGCTAAGATGTAAAAAAATATTGCTGTTTTCAGTTCCACATGGGACAGCTGTATCCCAAAAAAATATGCGGAGGGGTAATGTGTCTAGAAAATGTACTTTGTTTCATAGAAAGTAGGTCTGCGTTGTTAGCATCACTAATCTTCAAATACATAGAGTTATGAGATCTTTTAGTACAAGTGTAATACCAGGATATTTCCTTCGTAATCAATGAAATAAGAGCGGTTGTTTGATATGAGGTATCCTGCAAAGGATATTTTGAGTGCTGCTAAAGCAAGAGATTGTTGGGATTGTGTTCGTTCTAGTTCACATGAATTATGTAGTATTTTGAGTTCTGAAATAGATTTTTCTCGAAAAGTTCTGCTTATAGTGTAGTCTAGTTTCATGTCGAGGTGAATGTCACAGTGGGCCAAAAAATGTGTTATTCATTAGTAAAAAGTCATGTAGTCTAGTACCATACTGGTTTTCTGGAAGAAATGTTCCTCCATTAATCCCATGATTTTTATAAAACGTTAGCGGGATGTAAGATTTTTCGTCTTGCCGATTTTGACTTGTATCGGCCATATCAAGTATCGTATTCGACCAGTATTCGATCGAATTTTTGAATGTCTTAATGTCTATATTGTAGGCGGTTCAATGCCCAATTACGGAGTTAACTACTGTAGGTTTTTTGGCCAAAAAATAGGGGGCTCTACAATTGAGCTCCAATCTAAGCGCAAAGGGTTGATTGTGCCTTGTAGTTCACTTTATATGTCGTTTTAGTTTGATTGCAAAGATTGTGGTGAATGAAATTGATGCTGTTCGACCTGTGACTGAAGGTGTTGAAGGAAGGGAAAGTGTTTCTGGTAATGACGAGGTGAGATATCCGGAGAAATTTCTGTTGGTTCTTTTACAAGATTGGTTTCGACTTGGGAACTTGTTTGTGTCATCCAATGTGGGATTTTTTTTTGGAATGAATTGGATGGTTTAAAGTTATTTTGACGAAATTGTTAAGTAGTAGATTTTGAACCTAAGTTTTTTTTTTGAGATGTGAAGTGTATTGGTGGGAAGCGGTACTTTGTATCGTACGATGAGAAAGAACTAGAGGGGCTGTTGTTGGGGATGAGGTTATATTAAATTGAACTCTTGGTGTCGTTAGATTTCTATTGCCTCGGGGTTGAACAATTTTGTCTGTCAATTAAAATTGCTTGATTTTCGATTTCACTTAAATGTTTTGTCACGTTAGGGTCTTGCTGTAGTCAGGAGCATATTATATAATCGTTCCTAATATGGTTGGCTGAGGGTTGCGTAATGATGTGCTGGGGTTAGTGGTTCTGATAAGGATACGTGTCTTTCTTCAAAAGTGTATGGAGTTTGTACATATGACACACGAGTAAATGGTTGACGATGATTTGTTCGACTAGATATATGTGTGTTTAGAAGTCTTGGGGTGGGTTGGTAGGTGGGAAAATTTTGATAGGGCTTTATTAGCAATTTTTGAAAAATACTGATTATTTTTCATAATACATTACTTTAGTTTTTGGTTCTGATAATTTTCTTCAACGATTTTTATGATCAAAGTAATTGCTAGTACAAAAGCAATGAATGCTTTCTCTATACATTTTCAAAGTGTCAAAATTAGGGAAGCTATCAAAATGAGAAAAATTATGAAAAAAAGGAAAAATTTTTCCTGCTTAGAAAGCTTCGTACTTTTTAGAAACTAAACTTTGTTCACTATCGTACCTGAATAGGTGGTCGATAGTTTTGGAGAGAAACAAAACAGTTCAGATAAAGTAATAGAAATTCTAAAATGTCAGTTTTGAAAAATCACAAGGTGTAAAAATTGTAGAAAATGTGAGAGAAAGTTTGAAATAATTGTCTTAAGATTGAAAGAATTATTGGAAAAGTTATTTGCGTTATGGAATTATGTTTTTAACTTTTGGAAGTTGTAACAAGTTGGTTCGAAATATTTTTTGGTTTTTGACATGTGGGTTGGGTAAGAAGAATCTTTGGTGAAGGAAAGTCTGGGTGTTTAATTATAAGTTTTCTGATTCTTGTTATAATTTGTGGATTGATTAGGGAACTTTGGGAGGAAGAAAGGCTTTAGGCTAAGTGATCAGGTTGACTTTTTAAGCTAATTTAATTTTTCATTTTGTTGATTTTCATGGTATAAATTGAGACACTACTGTTGATTTTTTTAATGATTGAAAGAAGAGCATTGCATCTTTCTACGATGTTTTTTAACATGTGAACTTTTCGGTAATTGTTTATTTATGACCTAGGTTTTTTGTTGCAGTATAAGATCAAGTTCAAATTGGAGTTATGTCGGCCATTATTAACGGCAGTGTTTGAGAAAAAATTGACACGAAATGAAGTGATTTGAGTGGCTAATTTGGAACTAGTTATTTTGATAGAGAGAGAGAGAGAGAGAGAATCGATATACGTGTTGAAACTTTTTGCTGAATAATGAAGTAAAAAACTCATTGAAAACGTTATTGATAATTTTAATTAACCAGAGGGTTGCTGGAATTCTATTTTCTTTATTATTGTAGATTGTGGGTTAAAAACTTGAAATCTTCTTTTGTTGATTTCTAAGTCGACATGATTGGCGTTTTTCAAATTTTTTTTGTTTTGGCTTATGAATTTTATCTTGAATGATCAAATCTCCTTACTTAAGGTCTAATGCTGGCGTAAAACGTTAATTTGTTTGAGATTAGATAATATGTTTTTGCAACATTTTCTTCGCAATTTTCTGATAAATTTCATTGGGAGTTTTATCTCTGTTTAAAATCCATTCTGTCTGGGTTCAAGAGCCTAATTTCAAATTTTTTGGATGGTGAAATTTATCATCATGATGTGTGTGAAGTGGTAGGTTGTAGCAAAATGAAACTTTAGTAGGTTGATAACATCATTGTGCATTTTTTGTCGAATTGATTGTGAACATTATGGGTTGGCGTTGTTCTTAATTCAAAACCGTTTCAAACGGTGATAGTCCTATTGTTGTTGTGATCAGGAAATTATAAAAAAAAGGGAAAACTTTTACGTCTGTTGACCATTTAAGGTAATTTTGGTCGTTTCCATTTATAATAGATTGCAGGTATTCTTGTAGTGAGCGGTTTGTAGCTTCAACTAGTCCAGTTGTCCATGAAGCTTGTGACCTTCTAGGTTTCTGTTTGATGTTATAAAAGTGACCTAATGTAATTAATTCATTGTTTTTGAATGCTGGTCCATTATCTGTATCAAGGATTTGGGTAGTCCAAGTTTTGCTATCCAGTGTTTATAGATTGTTGTTATGCATAAAAAGCGATAATTTGGGGTACAGGGTTGAGTGCAAATTCACATGCGTCAAGTTTTACCCTTATATATGAATTTTATATGGCCTATTGGATATTGCGTAACGAATCAGCTTCAATGATGAAAACATAAACTTGCTGGAAAGGGTTTGTTTAATTGACATATAATACAGTCGTTACAAAGTGTGTTTAACCAAGCTGGTACAATTGGGATGGAGAAGTAATTTGGATGAGACTGCAATGTGTTTTTTTTCTGATCCTGTAGGTCCTTTCGTATTTGAAGAAGGTGATGTATGAAGAGCTCTTAATATTAAACTTAATGGTAGACAGGGTTCTTTCATAACTGGGTAATGGTATTCTGAGATATAAATTTTTTTCATTTGTCGTGATATTGTTAAATTTTCAGAAGTATTGAAGTAAGGCTTTGTTTCCCTAAAATTGTGATCTCGGCTTTGAGTTTTTCGTTATGTATTTGTACCAACAGTCCAGTTGTCTGGTGACAGGGTCAGGATTTCAAATTTTTTGGAGAATTGATGTGTTAATTTTATTGTGCAGGGTAAAAAATTAATTTGAAATTCGTTCTTTGATAGAAGTATATTGATCAATGGGTCTCGTAAATCAAATGTCTTAACAAAATTAAGTTTTGAACATAATTTGAGAGTACCTGCCAATTTCATTGAATCAATTAGGTACTTTTGTTGTTTTAGTGGAAATAATTTGTTGCGTTTTGGTTTTTTGTTTATATGTTTTTAATTGTGTATTACTTTTAATCCATGATATGTATGGTATAGGTTTGAATGTAAGAATACCTGGTAGATTGATTTCCTTTTGATTGTTTTGGCACCTCAGAGAGAGTGAAAAATGTTCTGTTTAGTACTTAGAAAAAGGTTCAAAGTTTTAATTTGTTTGTATAAGAGTCACTGTTGACTGCAATTTTACACTCTAACCGTAATGATGTTTCGACTTTTGCCAGAACGAAATTTTTTGTTGTGTGGTTTTTCTACTGTTGTTTTTCCTGTGAGTTTTTCTATTTCGACTAATTGTATCATGTTAAGCAAAGTTTATGCCTGCTATCCAAATTCAATGTAGGTTTCAAATTTTCAACGAAATTATTTGGAGTCTATAAATTCCGTGGTTAGAATTTTGCGTAAAGAGAAAAATTATGGGTCATAGTCTGTAAAAAAAAACTATTGGAAGTTTTAATCCAAGATTTAAAACTTCTTTTTCTGTTAATGTCTATGTGAAAACTTTACACTCTCTCTTGAGTGTGGAGAACCTCAATCGTGCTTGTGTAAAAAGTCTTGAGTTTGCTATTATTAGATTCATTTCGTTGGTGCCTTGATGTGATTGTAAAATAGCTGCACCAGTTCATAAATCGGAGGCCTCACACATAGCGTAAATTGATTGTTTTGAATCTTGGATTGTAATTAAGATTTGTTCAGTAGGAAGGGTTATCGATTTCGTTTTTGATGTTCTCAGACTAATTTCCATTTGTCTGAGAATGTTGTAAAATGGTTATTGCATTTTAAAAATGTAATCAATCAAAAGGTCAGCATTTCATGAAGTTTTTGGCTTTTCTATTGATTGGATAGTAGTTCAAGGGCGTTATTGTAGTTCCATCAAAAATATGTGAAAGGAATTTCACACAAACGAGAAAGAGATGATTTAATTGACGCTTTTTTAATTTTTTTGAATAAAACTGGTTGTTTTTATGTAAAAATTTCAACATTTCTTGTTCTGTTCGTGATTGCATGAAAACATCGTCTGAATATGCAAAAACTTTTTTTGCTTAAAATTTGTGTTTAAAAACCATGAAGGCAGAAAAGACGTTGCTCCAATGGATATGCCATATAATAGTGTAATGAATTCGTTTTGTTGCGACACAGGATTTTTCATCTAGTGGCATTTGAATATACGCATTATTCAAATCTGCTGTGGTAGAGTTAAGTCCGTTTATGTTTTTGAGTTTTCCTTGTATTGGTTCTTTGGTCCGATTGCTTTTCTAATCATCAAATGGACAGTTTTGTTAAAGTGCATCCAAAAACTTAGGCGATTCTTCTCAAAGCAGGATTTTTTAACGGGTTGACAAATATTTTATCTTTGGGTTGCTGTTCTTTGCTTACCCGTCAGATAGTTTAGTTTTTTTAAGGATGTCTAAAAGTTCGTTACTTTATCTTCTAAGTGTATTGTATCTCTAGTTGCGGGATGTGTTTTCATAATTGCGTCGGTGTTGATGAATGTGTCGTGGTGAAAGTTTTTTTCCCTCATCGATTTTTGGTTTAGCATAAACCATGGGGTATCTTCACAAAAAATCTGCTAATTGTTCAAATTCTTGCTGGTTAGTTTGAGATTGTTGATGGTTAAACATTGTTGAAAATTGTTGTTGGTTTCAAATAAGGGGTTTTTGTTAAATAAACCGTTTTTCTTTTGAGTTATTCATAAAACTGTTTATAGATGATTCTTCCTTACAAATTGTTGGTTGGCAAACTTCCATAACTTTAAAACTTTGTTGACTATGTAAGCTTTTTCTTGTGTAGGATTTGAGGTTGCAAATATTTCGCAATATGCTAATAAATGTGAGGGA